ATTTTTGTCTACAGTACCTTTGTTGTTGTTGTTTTGTCTTGTATAAATAGTGAAAAACTAGAGATAATATACAACATTTAATTAAACTATAGCCAATATTTAATTATGTAGCTGTAAGGGGGAGATGATTTGTAGCTATTATACAAAACTACAGAAATTATAGTTTTGTTTCATGGTAATTGTTATTGTGCCATGTTAGCTTCATTTATTGCCCACACTCCCTTAATTGCATATGCAGTTTTATTTTTAGTGGCTCTTCCATTCAGGAGGCTTAGAACATTAATCATTTGTAAGCTTTTATTATGAAAAACCAGATTATGGATGTTATTCGAAAATCATTTTCATAACCAATTGCTTCAATTTTATTTCAAATAGAAATGAAAATAATTTATATAGAATATATGGCATTTAAAAATTTTTGTCAAATTTTTCTTAAGTCATTTATTTATCCATTCACTAATTAAGTATATAATGAGCACATATGTTGTGCCAAAGAAGTTTTCTAAACATTGAGGAGACAGCAGCAGAAATAACAAACAGTAATTCCTGCATCCATGGAACTTAAATTTTAGTCAGAGGGAGAAAGATAATAAGCAAATAAGCAAATAAACAAAAAAAATATATTTTATGTCAAGTGGTGATATGTGCTATGGGGAACAATAAAACAGAAAACCAAGATAAGAAGTGCTACAAGTGAGGGTGAGATGAAGTTTTCAAGTAGTCAGGCATGGTTACATGGCGATCATAGTTACTGTGCAGAAAAGCCAAGTTGTTGAGTGAGCAAGCGATGTGTGTACTGGAAGTACCATAAATGCAGAGTTTCTCGTGGTTTATATGAGGATGATCATGGTAAAGACTTTTGTGCTTACTTTATGAAGGCTAGGAAGCCAGGGAAGGGTTTTGAGCAGAGGAGACATGATCTGACTCACATATTGGGAGAAAGGCAGAAACAAGGAGGCGAAAGTTATTATTATAATCCAGAAAGAATGCTGTTACCTTCAACAGTAGTAGTGGAGGTGGTAGGATACAGTCATATTCTTAATGTGTTTTCTAAACAAAGCAAAGATATGCTGATGGATGGTATTTGTACAGTAAGAGAGGCGGGGATGACTCCACATTTCTTGCCTGATTTATAAGGGTGGAGTTGTCATGAACTACAATGGCAAAGAATGTGGGAGGAGAAAGTTTGGGGAGAGAAAATGAGAACTTTAGTTTTGGAAATATTTCTATTGATATGCTTGTTAGTTAGCCAGGTGAAGGAGCCAAGTCATCAGGATGATATT